CCTCTCGCTGCCCCCCGGCCCCGAGGCTCCCTCCGGGCAGCAGGAACGCGAGCGGCGCCGCTTCTTCTCCTTAGCGGACCGCCTGCCCGGCATCGCCCCGCCGGGGCCCGCCGCTCCCCGCCGCGCTCCGCATCCGCGCGCCCAGGGCGAGGCCTGCTTCCGGCAGAGCCCTGATAGGCCGCCTCGCAAGACGTCATCCCACTCTTCCGGCGCGGGGGCGGGTCCGGCCGGGAAGGGCGTCCGGGGGATCTCCGCCGCCCCCGGTGACGACGGGGGAGAGTGTGCGGCTTCTGGATTCCCACCTCGAGTTATGCCCCCTTGGCAGTTCTTTGGAGCCAAAGGTCCCGTCCGAAGGCTTGTGGGAGTTTATATAGGTGACGTAAAATCCAAGGAAACTACATCATCCGGGCAACACCGCTTTTGTGCTCAGCGGCACCTGCACAGCGTCTGAGTAGGTTTGCAAGGTGTTCTGCCGGGGGCGTGTAGGGGGGCGAGGAGTCTTCAGTGCTGGTTTGTCTGGGCTGATTCTGGTCTTCCCTATAGTCCTGGAATTGCAGAGTCATAGAGCCGTCTGGGCAGGGAGGGGCCTTAAAGAGCATCGAGTCCAACCATCAACCCAGCACTGCCTAGTCCACCACTAAACCACGGCCCTCAGCACCACGTCTACATGTCCTCCATGATACCTCCAGGGATGGTGACTTAACCTCCAGAGATGGTGACTCAGCCACTTCCCTGGGCGGCTTGTTCCAATGCTTGATGGCCCTTTTGGTGAAGAAATGTGTCTTAATACACAATCTAAACCTCCCCTGGCACAACTTGGGACCATTTCCTCTTGCCCTGTTGCTTCTTACTTGGGAGAAGAGACTGACCGCCACCTCGCTGCAACGTCCTTTCGGGTAGTTGTAGAGAGCAATGAGTTCTCCCCTCAGCCTCCTCTTCTCCAGGCTAAACAACTCCCGTTCCCTCAGTTGTTCCTCGGAAGACTTGTGCTCCAGACCCCTCACCAGCTTTGTTGCCCTTCTCTGGACACGCTGCAACACCTCAGTGTCTTTTGTGTAGTGAGGGGCCCAAAACTGAACACAGTATTCAAGGTGCAGCCTCACCAGTGCCCAGTACAGGGGAACGATCACTTCCCTAGAAGTAGAATCATTACAGAAGTCTTTTGATTCATATATCTCACATTATATGACTGTAGTCTCCATTTGTCTTGGCGAGCACACTAGTTGGTGCTGACCTAAGTCAGTTTTGATTCCTCGTTGAGTTCCCTAGTAAGGCATTTTATATTGTGTGCTGAGTTCTAATCTAAGTAGATCTCAAGTCCTTCCACTTTATAAAACCCAAGGCAGGCCTAACAACGAAGGTTTAATGTAAAGTGCTGCTACATGCTGTTTGCTGTTCCAAGAGCTTCCATTCTAGCGTAGAAAAAGATGCCAGCAGAATTATATCTTCTACTGAGAAACTTAAGATTCTTAGCTGAAGACACTATTTCTCTTCAAGGGGGTCCTGAAATCTCTCAAACATACTTTTGCTATTCCCCTGATGAATCAAATCAGGAGCACTTAGCACACAGATCGAGTTACTTGAGGTTTACTGCTGTAGATAGCAAGGCAGCTCTGAGTTCTGTGCTAGGCACGTACTTGTTTTCAATATTGCGTGGTCTCAAAAGATTATACACCGTGGACCTCCTGACTGATGTGTCTCTTAGGCATAGATTTAACATCCTTTCACTGAAACAGAAACTTCAGGTGACATCCTTAAGGTTTTCTGATTGTTGGTGCTCTCAGTGGCAGATGTTGTAGTACATTTACATGTATTTGTGTTTACGTACATGCATGCTTACATGTACCACACTGGAGTTTTAGAACAGTGTAATTTCAAACAAGAGCAATAGCCATTATTTATTTTGAAGATAATACTGGCATAAAGATGATATTTTGTTGTTATATGTTGGAAGACAGAAAAAAATGTCCACTGCTTTGTAGAAGATGCAAGTTTATACCCTTTTTGCACTCAACCTGTGTTAGCACATACCCAGTTTTGCTAGCTTGGGAAAATCCTCACTGAAAGTTACTGCACAAATGCATGAAGGCGTAAGAACACCAACAGGCTTCTGCGTCAATTAAAAAAATATATCTTGTTGTAACATACAACATACTGTAAGATCTTGCTGTGTGTTGTAACTTTGTTTTTTCATTACCTCCTTTACACATTACCTCCACTGCCTGTGCTACCACCGTATGTCTCTATGGGGACAGACCACTCAGGGAAAATCCCTGTGGGGATGAAATCCAATGTCCCCCACGCCCTCTGTTCCCTCAGACAATACTAAATTATGGAATGGTCAGGTATCACAGTACCCTGGTAGCAGCAGCTGTCCTTCTATGCAAATATTCCTAGCCTACTCTGTATGTTTTGCCTAATATGTAGTGCTGCAGCCCCAAGATGAAGGACTTTTTGCTGTGCCGCATAAGTTCCCTGCAAATTTAAGTGAATTTTGTAAAATCTCTTAATATACCATTTCTTGAAGTTGCCAGAAGATGTTTATTAATATAAACATTAATTTTTGGTCTAGGAAATTAATGACAATTTTCACGTAAAGAGGTAATATGTAACAGAGCAATCCCACAATAACAAAACCAAAATGTTAGATGAGTATAGATATCTTAGAATAGCACATGTACAAACACAGTTAAAATGCACAACATTACAAAGCTAAAGCTTCAAGAACAATTTTATAGTAGGCAACCAAAATTCAACAGACAGGCACATTATTTCACAGACATGTTTCCTAAAGGTAGCTTCTCAGATGTTTTCCCAGGAAGGGACTGATCTATTAAGCACTATAAATCCCCAATAATCTCTTGGATTGCCTTATACATCAACTTGCAATGGATCAAATAAGAAAACCTGTGACTAAGCCACAATCAAGACTCTGAGGATATGTATCTGAAAATTCATCAGAAGTGTAACAGTACACGTGTTCAACTAAGGATCTGAGAAAAAAGGTTTGCTGGAAGTAATGTAGTAATTCAGACAGTTCAGTTAGATGGAGCCAAAAAAAAAAAAAATAGAGCTCTTGGTCATAAAACCCTTACCATCTGGCACTGATGAGGCAGACAAGTATCATGTAATGAAAAGCTCACATGCCAGAAAAGCTTGCACATCTTTTTTCATGTTTTCCATTCTATTAGTCTAATGAAAATTGTAACTTTGAACATTGACATGTTGACTTCATCTTAATTCTAAACCAAAGTGTAACATTTACAGGAGAAACAGGAAATAACATTCCCCTTTTGAGCTGAACATCTTGGATCTGCTGGAATAGCTGTAAAATATTATTTTCCCAGTTTAAAATAGAATAGTTCAGTTGTAAAAGACTGACAGTGATCATCTAGTCAACTGCCTGACCACTTCAGGGCTGACCAGAAGTTAAAGCAAATTATTAAGGGCATTGTCCACTGACAGGTTTGGGGCATCAACCACCTCTCTCGGAAGCCTCTTCCAGTTTTTGCTCCTCAATCAGTTCTCTACACCTAAATTTCTCTCCCAATTTTCAAGATGACTCCTTTTTTTTGTTTTTTTAGATCATCTAATATTTTACGAGGTAGACTAAGACATTTGCTATCAACTGGTAGAATATTCCTGTCATTAAAAGTCATGTAAAAGCTTTTCTAGAGGTTCAAGCCATATTACAAGCTACAAGATACTCACTTATCAGTGAAGCATGACATCTAGACAGCAGTTAAAGAGTCTACCTCTCAAAAAGTCCCCTAGCTCTAGGCTAAAAACCGTAAGAGCCATAAAAGACCTAGGTTTCAAAAAGGAAGTGGAAAAAGCTGATGAAAAATTAGGTAAATGCCATTTCCTTACCAGGATATTTGACAAGGGTTAATATCAACCACTGTTAACGAATAAGCTTGTGGAAAGCATGGTGGAACTTAACAGTTCTCAGGGCCCCTTGCCTGCTGACAAAAAAGCACGGTCAAGAAACAGACTTATTGTGCCGAAATGTGGTTGGGGTGGGTGTCGGAGTTGACAGTTGCTGAATCACAGCCATTTCCTACCAATATTTCCATCTGGATAACCTTTAAGTACTGAGATGGTTTGACTTCTTGGCAATCTGTTTTGATATGAGCTATGTCAAAAGGACTTCTTGCAATGATCCTGTGCACTATAGACTTCAGAAAAGCAGTCAAATAACAAAGTGTGTAAAAAGTTTTATTTGCTCTGTATCTTGCAACAAATCAAGTGTAATTCATCCACAGTATTTTCTCAGTTATAGCCTGTCACAAAATATGAACAAAAACATTTTTGTCCTGCATACTCCGTGTCTCCCAAGTACTAAGAAAAACAATTATAGCAGATTAAGAACAAACCTACAGCATTCCTTTACTTTAGCCGGTTCTGATACAGAGGCATACTTTTTTATTTGAGAGTCAACTCCAAGAGACTTAGCTAATTGCACAGCATTTGTATCATCACTGATTAGCGTCCCAAGAGCCACAAGCAGTCTAAAAATGGCTTCAAGATCTTTAACAACTTCCATAATTGTGCTGATTACTGATAAACATTGGGCTTTGCCCTCAATGTTGTTGACTTTATGTAAACACACAGCATAGTTCAACGTCAGCGTGGCAAGCGCAATGTGGATGTTCTTATTATTGCCTGATTTCATTTCTATTGCTTGTGTCATGATTTCACCCCTCTGTTCCATCATGAGTTTCTGGCCTGCCTGGCTGACAAAACAATTGCAAAGGGCTCTAAGTGCCAACAGCTGGTTTGCTTGCTTTCCTTTAGGGTTCAGGAATTTAAGGAGAAGGATGATAAATTGCACGTGATCCTTTTCACTGCAGAAGTTCTCATTCACAGTGGGATGCCTGACAGACAATCTAAGAATGTCTAGGGCTGGAAAGACAATATCTAAAAAACAAAACAAAAAATATTTTAGTATTAATATGTCATTACGTGCAAACGTGCTGGTGAGTTTTTTTCAGATACAAACATTCTTAAACCCCTTGCTTTGGGAACAGACAGTAACAGTTTTATGCAGAAAGAGATTCAGGTAAAGCACAAGTTGGTTGAAATTCATAAAGACAAGTACCGACAAACCCATTCTAGTAATACTTCAGCTAATCACAAAAACCATACTCCTTAATTTAGGATAAACATAGTGCTTTGCAAAAAATCTTAAAGTCTTTCCCAAACGCTCTAATTGATAACACTGAAGACAAGCACAAAATAATGGTGACTAATCCAAAAAGGTCTCTGAAAGCCTCTCAGTGAAAGAATACTCCTACACAGGCAGCATCTCCCTTTGTCCTCACTCCGCATCTTACAGTCTACTATAGCTACAAAACTGCTTACAGAAAGAAAAATGAGAAAAAAATTTTTAGACTACCTTCAGCTCTCAGACTAATTTGCAAGTGAACAAAAAAAAAAAAAAAAAAATGGAAATCATTGTAAAGAAATGGAACAGAAGAGTTTGTTCATTTGAAAGTCTTCCCCTGCACTTTCCCAAATTTCACGTATATCTGGCTCCTTAAGTCTATTACCAGTATCCCATGCTTATAACCAAATCAAAGCTGAACTCATTTAGCTACTTATTCAGCATTTTTTCCTGCAAATATGCAGAAACTTGAGAATTAATGCTTTGTACAAGATGAGGAGTCTGAAAGGTATGAAGACATTAGCCATCACCAGCTCCCTGCTGTGCAAAACATAGTTTAAATGATGTTATATACTGAACATGAATTTTTAACACCAAAATATTCTTCCCGTTAACAAATCTTTAACTGCAGTTTCAAGAAAGCAGTTCATTTTTGCTTCATGTTTAGGTATTTGTGTATGCAATGTATCCATTTTTTCCAGAATGTGCGGTAACGAGCCCTTCCAATCCATCAGTGCTGATGACAATACATTATCAATTGAAATTATATCAGCTCCACTTGCATTAATTCAGAATGTCATTTCACTAATGCAGTTCTCACCATATAACCTAGCTTCAGTAACTTCTTTGCTACTATATTAAACAGGAGCTACTTTTGAGATTTTTTAAAATATTTTATCTCGATAATTTCATCTCTCATTTGGTAACAACTTGGGACTCCAATCTCACACTTTGCTCTATTTCCAAACAAGCCTCCCACTTCTTTGTTGAGGATGCTCCTGCTAATGAAATAACCATGACTGATGTTCATATCAAGTTTCTCCTTTATATTGACTGTTGTCTCAACAACAAAACTTGACAATCAATTACCAATTTGGCCATTCATGCTCCTGCCCCTGCTACTGATCGGCGCTGTTAGCATCCGTTTATCATCTTCTGGTTTCTATTTGTGTTATAAACTCTTTGGGACAGACTCTGCGTAACAGCCAGCATAATAAGACTTTCAGTTCATGGTGAAATATTGATGAGATGACAGTACAAAAAAAATAATTGCAAGTGTCTACCTTCTGGCCAGTTAACCGCTCTCCATAAAGTCTCAAGTTGCTGTGCTGTAGGTGTTTCTGCAGAGGTGTTGCACGTTGCAGACAATAACTTTTCTAGGGTTATCAAGTCATCTTCTGTAAGCTTATGTTCTTCAGTTGCACTACCATTAAGTTCCTTTAATTTACCTGTAAGACCAATAGAAGAGGCATGGCTTTGTGACATTAGAACTTCACAAATCCAGATCTTGAATGAAATACTACAAAAGCACTGTATAAACAGGTTACAACTATTGTGATTGGTTTTGGGGGAAAAATTTTTTTTTTTTAAACATTACTTATCCCAGTTTCATAGTGTTCTAATTTTAAGGTTTTAATCATCACAATGGTTGGTACTATTAAGCCCCCTCTAATACTCCTACACTAATATTCAGAGTTCACATCTTAGCCTACATAGAGGCAAAAATGCAGAAAAGAATAGCTAGACTATCAGTTTTCATAACTGAAATACAACTCCTTTTTTGCTCTTTTCTATTATTTGGTAGTAGAAACAATAAAGAAACTGTTCTATGCCAATCATGGTTGTTCCAGAATTTATGAGGGCCATGTCAATAAACATACAAGCAGGCAGTATTACATTAGTACACCTTTATGAGTTTTACAGTATGCACAAAAATCAACTGTGGGCCTCCTACGAGAAAAAAAACGTGTAGCTATTAAATCTATTCCACTCCAGCCATAATATTTACAAATATATTTAACCATGCACTGTTACAAAACTGCAAGAAACTCAGTGAACATAGTTTTCAGATTCTAAGTTTCAACAAACAGAAGAACCCACTAAGCTTGTCGCTAATATGATTACCCTTCAAGAATATTTGACAAAGATAAACTGATGCAGTATGTTTTTAAGATGAAGTAAAAGTCTCTGCTTTGCTGTAACATAGCAGAATAAAAGTCAGCCAATATTGCCGTTCTCACTCTTAGGACGTTTTGAACAAAATTTTACTACAAAATCTGTGCAAAACTAAGAGAAGGCTAAATCTATTTACTAGAGATAACTACCAGGAAAAGAAAAAGATCTAGTATATGAATCCCTTATCTTCTCCCTGAACAAGTACTAGAGTACAAGAAAATTCAGGGAAACAGGATGAGGCTGACTGAAGATTCTGACTGATATTTTTAAACAGAAAATAAAACATGAACAATAGGTAGAAGAGTGGTGTTCCTCCGGGGTCAGTACTGGGACCAGTACTATTTAACATCTTTGTTGATGACGTGGACAGTGGGATTGAGGGCACCCTCAGCAAGTTTGCCAATGACACCAAGATGTATGGAACAATCGACATGCTGGAGGGAAGGGATGCCATCCAGAGGGACCTGGACCGGCTTGAGAGGTGGTCCCATGCCAACCTCATGAAGTTCAACAAGGCCAGTACAAGGTCATGTGCATGTTTCTGTTCTGGGCAATCCCAAACACAAATACAGGCTGGGAGGAGAATGGATTGAGAGTAGGCCTGAGGAAAAGGGCTTTAGGGGTGTTGGTTGACGAGAAGCTCAACATGACCTGGCAATGTGCGCTCGCAGCCCAGAAAGCCAACCACACCCTAGGCTGCATCCAAAGAAGCGTGGCCAGCTGGTCAAGGGAGGTGATTCTGTCTCTCTACTCCGCTCTCCTGAGACCCCACATCGAGTACTGCATCCAGCTCTGAAGCCCTCAGCACAGGAAAGACGTGGACCTGTTAGAGCAAGTCCAGAGGACGGCCTCAAGGATGATCTGAGGGTTGGACCACCTTTCCTGTGAAGACAGGCTGAAGAGAGTTGGGGTTGTTTAGCCTGAAGAAGAGAAGCCTCTTGGGAGCCCTTATAGCGGCCTTTCTGTACCTAAAGGAAAGATGGGGAAGGACTCTTGATCGGGGAGTGTAGTGATAGGATGAGGGGTAATGGTTATAAACTGAAAGAGGGTAGATTTAGATTAGATGTTAGGAAGAAATTCTTTCCTGTGAGGGTGGTAAGACACTGGAACAGGTTGCCCAGCAAAGCTGTGGATGCCCTACCCCTGGAACTCTGAGGTCAGGTTGAATGGGGCTTTCAGCAAGCTGACCTAGTGGAAGATGTCCCTGCCCATGGCAGGGGAGTTGGACTAGATGATCTTTAAAGGTCCCTTCCAACCCAGACCATTGCATGATTCTATGACTGTAAGGCCAGCTTACCCCCTTCAAGAAGTTGGATAAAAGTGAAGGTACTCTTTTTCCAAAAAGCAGAATCTCTTGTTTTAAGTTTCTTCATCAGACTATCTAGACAACTACATTTTCAAGCTCTGTATATGAAGGGGAGGGAAGCAAGAGAATTTTAATTTGGAGATCTTCAAGGCAGGTACATTGTGAATACAAACTAGTTTTACAAAACCCTTAAATGTACTAAGACACGTTGCAGAAACATACTGAAATAAACTGGTGACAAATAGTGTAGAGATTCTGTGGAACACTTACGGAAAATACAGAGGAAGATAGAGTAGAATAGGAATGAAGCATGGGAAAAGAGAGGGAAAAACAAGCCAATGTAACATTTACCAAAAAAGTGTATAATTACTATGTATTGTACACTGTTTTCTTTTTCTGTTATGCAGAGTGTTCTGCTTAAATAGAAAAGTGACCATTGCAACCTGTGAAATTGCAGAAAGCCATACAACGTAATCGATGAAGTTTTAAAGTAAGGCAGTCTGGTGAACTAAAACTTTTATGAGCAGAAATCAGAAAGCAATTGCACATGACCTGCATACCTAGCAGCTAGGTGAAAAAAAAAAAAAAAGCTTAGTAAAAAAGATGCTGAACTACAGCAGATGAAAGCCAAGGGGGGGAAAAAAAACAATGGATATCCTGTATTGGATAGAGTTCTTGTGAAATTTGCTCACACTCGTAAGCGTTCGACTACATGCACCACTAAAGTGATGAATGCAACTTTAAAAGGTCAAAACCAAGAAACAGTAGGAAAGCTACGGGAAATCACTTAGCTTTTTGACAAGATCAAAAGTGAAGTTACTTCAAACAGATGAAAAACAAAAACATCCCTGAAATTAAAAAACTGACCGAGTATCTGCGTAGGATTCGCCTGGTCAAAGGTGACAGCATCCTTCTTCGGAAAATAAATATTTTCAACTTTAGCTGCAGCTGATTGGTAGGCACCCATTCCTATATAAAGTAAATACAAGAAGTTCAACAGTGTACCAAAAGTGTCTGAGATAGAACAGTATCCTACCAGTAAGTCTCTCCT